GCTGTTTCTGGATTTAGACTACGGCAATATGGGGAGGGTCAAGCTACCCACGTCCACCTGACTGGACTGGGATATGGCAGCCTCCTGAAGGCTCAAGTCTTTTTAACCCATGTGTGTCAACCACTACCAACTCTGGGACATCCCTGGGATACAGCAGGGTTGGCAAACCAGCCCTGCCCAGAAGCTCCAGCTACCCTCCCCCCTCATCACCACGCTGGTTTCCAGGGCAGAAAGGAGAGGAATAGGCCCCACCTCCGGCCCGGGTGCTCAGCCGCGGGCATGTCTCTGCACCTTCCCCCAGGCAACTCACCTTCTGCTATCGCCGGCGCCAGCCCTTCAGTGAGTGGGGACTGAAGACCGCGCGCCGGGCCGTTAACAGAGGCCGGGCGTGCGCCAGAGCGCCACTTGAGCCCGCCCCTCCCCCCGCCCCGGTCCCGCCAGCGCGGGCGCGTCTTGTACTCCACAGAGGCAGCAACGAGTGCACGCACAATTAGGTTGGGTGCGCAGGGGCTTTTTTGTTTGCTTTGTATTCGAAGTATAATTTCAATATGAAGAAATAATAAGAAAATAAGAAATAACAGTAAGAACCAGGCTCTTTTCCATAGTGCCCAGTGATGGGACAAGAGGCAATGGGCACGAGCTGAAACACAGGAATTTGCCTCTGAACACTTGCACTGTGTGGGTGACCAAGCACCAGCACAGGTTGCCCAAATGACATCCCTAATCATTCTGTGTTTCTGTGAAATAGCTGGCTTCCAGCTTCTGCTCTTAAGAGCCCTTTCTACAACTCACTAAGTGAATCTTGGAATTGCCATCCTGGGGCCATAAAGATTTCAGAGTTTAGAAAACACTCCCAAGTTACCAGGCCACTACATATGGACATTTAAGATAAAATATGGTTTCCTTGAAAGCAGAAATTAAATGTGATCTTCTCATTTTATGTATTAATGTCTTCATTTTTAGGAATTTTTGTGTGAAAAAAAACCCCAACCAAACTACAGCAACTAAACCCACCCAAAACAATTTCAAGCTACCTTACATCCATAAGGTGCCACACAATTAAATCAAGAAGAAACTGGAACCAATTTTTCCTTACACTTTTGGTTACAAACTTCCACCCTGCTGGCCCCAGGTCTGCAACCATGGAAGTTCAGAAGGTTCAAAACAAAACAAAGATACCCCACACTTTCACCTCACCTTTCAAAGGTTTCATCTAACAGCTAAGTTGTGTTTTTTTTCCCAGTACTTCCCAACAGGAGTTCATTAATCTCAGCCGGAGCTGATTAATCATCACATACAACTGCAGCAACATCTTCCAAGCATAAGATGCATCTTATACTTGCCACCCTTAAAAACAGGCAAAGGGAGGAGGGTAAAAAAAAAAAAAAACCCAAAAATCAGTATTTTCTGTGCCTAGAAAGTTTCCATACAGCATATCAATTTACAACTTCAGTATCCAGCCTTTGTGGGAGATGTTTGAAATACAAGCAGGAACTAACAGTACCTAAGAGATGAAGCATGAAATTGAAATAACCGTCTTCTTTCATGTAGCAAAGACTGCAACATCCAGAAAAGCAGCAAGCTGTGAATATGGTCTATCACAGAAAACTATTTGATGGGTTTTGTGTGGGTGTTTTTTGTTATCGTTTGGTGGTTGATTTTTTAATTAAACAGCAATTCAAAAAACAGCATGGGAACCTTTAAAGAGTAAAAAAAAAAAAAAAAAAATCTTCTTTAACTGTCTCAAAGTAGTTCCCAGTTTTAATGCAATTTCAAAGGAGTTTTCAAGTACTGGGAATCTTCAGATAAAGCGAATAACATTTTAGCAATGTTAACTTTCTATTCCTGAACTAATTCTCCACTGCCCTACCATTCATATTCTATGGATTAGTCACTGTAAAGATCAAGCCAGTGCAGACAGACTTTCACAGAAACATTTCAGCAGGTATTTGGATCTCATGGAAAAACCTCATCTAAAGTAAGACCTATATTGTTTCTTCTTTCTACAGAATCTAAACAATTGTTCATTAACACATCCCCTATTAACATGTATAAAACACTAGTACAATAAACAGCTACTACTGTTCCTAACTGGGTTTAATAGCAATGATGTCACAAGTCCAGAAACGACAACAAGAGGGCTGGGAAGAAGATACAAAAGATATTAAACATTGTACTAAGCACTGGCAATTGTGAACTTTTATTTTATTTTTGAAGTCACAGAAGATGATAGAAAATAGAGACAAAGTGTTGGATGCAAATAACCAACCATAGATGTAGAGTAATTGAACAAGATAAAAAAATAGCTTAAATTAATATATTTTATACGAGAAAACAATTGGTACAAAGGCTGAATTAGAACCATGATTTCCAAGGTCAGGCACATTCTTCCTTAGTCCCTCAAAAAAACCCCAACCCTAAAAGGAGTATTTAGTTTGGAATGGTGTTAAAATACTGGACAATGGTAGCCTCTGAATGCACTTAATGCTCTCCCAACTTCTGGCATGAAACAGCTGAAATAAGAAATTTTGAAAATGCACAAGTCAAGATATTCCACCAATTCCACCTGTTCAATAAACAGATAAGTTTATTATCATGACCCCTGACTTTTACCACCTACTCAACCCTAACTTCGAGCTCTTAAATCACCGATTGAGAATAAGTGATTCAAGGTTTTAGTAGCAAATTGATAGTTTTTCTGGAATATGAACATTTTACTTTATTATAAAGTACACTGTACTAGAAGGTTCATTCAAATCTAGGTAATTTCAGTTACGTTTCTATGGCTTTTGAGCAAAAAGCAAGCAGTTTTACTGCATGTACACAATATTAAACACCAAGATTTAAATTAACTATTTATTAATAACCTACATTCACTGTGGATTTCTAAGATTTACATCCAAAAAGCATATTTTATTTACACGCTGTTGATATTTTAAAGAAAATGAAATAAAATCTTATCTGTTTAGGAATTATGATCAGTCCCAAATTAAAAAAAAGATACATTTAACACCACAAAATGTTTAAAACATTTACAATAAAAAACAGCTTTCTGTGCCAATTATACTTACTCTCTAAGAATGTAAAATTGCATTGGTAACTGCAGTAACTACAATCAGACTTGAAACATTTAAAACCTGAGTAGCAAATCTAATTTTTTTTCTTTTTTTTTTTTTTTAAGGAAAACCCTACAATCTAATATGCCCTAATGATAATTTAAGCACAGATTGGTCAGTGGTCAATAAAAAAACCCAACAAAAACAGTGCATTATTTCTGCAGCTCCAAAAGAAAAGATCACTATAAAATTATTGCAGTAATTTGATAAATGCCAGGCCTGCCAGCTACAATAAGGCTTATTTCAAAATGTCCTTTCTCACACACTGTACCTAATCAAATAATGAGTCTTTGGCCAATTCCTGTGATGGGTCCTCTATTTATGTAAGCATGCATTTGCTTAAGTATGCATCTGGGATCTTTGAGGTTTCCTACCTCAAACATACATATACAGGTGTTTTAATATAGCTAGATCAGATAAAAAAAAAAAAAAAAAAACAAAAACAACACAGGAAGAGGCATAGAAAGTTAGAAATACTGGCCAGAAAACATTAAAAAAAAAAAATCTAATGAGAAGTTTTATATCAACCCCCAAAGGCCTTTTAAAAATCAACATAGCTCTGGAGCATCATTCACTAAACACCATGTACCTTACATCAAAAAAATTAAAAAATTGTTGTGCTAACAGGTACACTTTACTGCACTGCAGGATGTAAAACGTAACCATACCTATAAAGCCTGGAGAAGAGAAGCATTGCACAGAAATTTACCCCATTTTGTTTAGCCATTTTATTTCTTTACTTGGAAACATTATGCTGCTTTTTGAGTGAAATAGCTTTCCCCTTCCTCCTTGTATCCTTCAGAAACTGCTTGACCAAGAGCATCTCCCAGGAGGGGTTTGAGAAGGCCAGGATTTTCCTATTCTGGAGCTATTTTCTACAGTTTTAACAGTTTACCCTTCTCCTGCTGACGGTTGGTAATGTAGTAGTCACTCCTTCCAGGCTGAAAGCTGGAAGACAAACTGCAATTGACCAGCCTCTACAGACAGCCTTGCTTTGTTTGTAGACGATCCAACAGGTTGTATTTCACTAAACTGACACCCCATGGGACCCAGAAACTCTTATCTCAAATGACCACCAAGACCATTCACCAAAATAAACACATGAGTATCTGTAGCTCTGAAACAAAGTCAGTCCTGCATTTCATAGGGACTTATCTTTGCCATTTAAGATGGGAGCATTTCATTAGAGCTTTAAACCTAACTGCACTATATGGCAACATATTCAACTCTACTTATGCCACAACCTAGCTTATAGTTTGAAAACGAGATCTGCATTACTAATACTTCACCTCATTCACCACTAAGACAATGTAAAATCTATCCCAGCATAAGCTTTTTTCCTGGGTTTAGAATCTTTCTTTTTCTAAGGCACTTGCATGAACAAGTCCATTTATTTACACGTAAATAAAATCAATGATGTGGCAAACATGCTTGTAAGTAATAAGAAGAATGTGACACACTTTACTATCCAATGTAGTACGACCCAATTTTTTTTTTTTTTTCCAAAAAATTTCTACAACTTGATATGTTACAGTGGGTTATATGAGGGATTTTTTTTTTGGCAAGTTTTACAGAAACTACCTTAAAAAAAAAAAAAAAAACACAACAAAAAACAAATGAAGGTAAACAGCCACAAGTTTTGTCATTCATTGACATAAAGCAGCAAATACATTGAGGAACATTCTGCTATTAATACATAGCAAATCGAACTTTTTCTAGTATTTGAGTTTAATACGGTGGTGTTTTATCCCTTTAATTCTGGAATAAAAGTAGACTAATTTAAGTAAAAAAAGAGCAAATGTATAAAAATTAAGAGAAAATTGCAGGAGTTAGAACATACATGACTTCATGCAATGATACTATACTTCATCCCTAGAAGCATACAAGATTTCAAAAGTCATCCTTTGTGGAAATAAACTCTTCCAAACTAGTGGAGAAAAAAAAAAAAAAAAGAAACATTCAGTACACTGCTAAGGTCTTCATAGGTGATCAAGATGACGTTGACTCAGTTTCTTCGCCAGCTACTATTTGACAAACCTTGGTCTCATTCACTGTTCAGAAGAGTTCTCATCCCAGCCACAGGAGATTGCTTGGCACCAATAAGGCACATCACTTGGTACAGTTTTTACTGGGGTTAAATAAACCCATGATGTCAACCATTGCTTTTTGGATGTTTTTTCCAAAACGATGAGAATCCTTTAAAAACAAACAAAAAAAACTCCAAACACTTGTAATGTCAAATCAACAGTTATCTTTTAGGCAAATAAAGGAACCTTTTAACATTTTGTAATTTTGGAGCTTATAGAATTAGGGCATTTAATAGGCAATTTAAACCACCAAAATTTTAATCCTATACAAATTAATCCAGGTTTATGCTATTACTAATGAGATTTTCATTATGCATTTACTTTCCTACAGACAGAATGGGATCATGTCCTTTTGAAATCAGATGCATCTGTAGCGTTCTGTTACTTTCAAATAGGTGAGTTTTGGTATTGGTTTTTTATACGAGATTTTGCAAAAACTAATTTTCAGAAAACAAAGGAATGTTCAGAAGGTGTTTTTCTGCTCTTTCAGGACTTCTAGGTCATTAGAAATGCATTACGTATTTGAGTTCCTATCAGAATCCTGAATCTTTTGCTATTGAAAATGACATAAAGTACTGAAAATGAAAATCACAATTATCTAAGTGTAAACAAACAATGAACTTGCTCGGTTTATTCTAAGTGTCAGCTGAATGGTACAATGAAGAAATTAAGATTATAAATATAAATTATTAGCTCCATTACAAGACCTACTATAAAGGCCCTACTAATATCAAGGCCATGCACATGAAATGCTGCCTTTTCTGTACGGACATTTGACTTGACTAATAAGTAAGAAATACAGGGAAATTAAAGTACAAACTAACAGGCATCTGAAGAACAATTAGAACCATGAAAAAAACGAAGTCTTATTTCCTAATCATTAATGATAACCAAAGGCACCAAGATCTCTCGGACGAGTTAAGGTCAAAAGAGGAAAACTAGTTCAGCTATGTAATCCTGAACAAACTCAGCATGTTTATTCAGTCAGAAAAATGCAAAGGGGAGGGATAAATTGAAGCTCACTCAAAGCAGGCCTCTGCAACAGCAGGATATTGAACAGATGACATTTACTACGTTCTAATAATGGGTGTTATTCTAATAAATTTTTGGTTAATTATGTTTCTCAAGTACAGATTACAACTTATGGGCCAGCTTCTTTCAGTATTATTTAAACCAGGAAGATTTAAATAATAGGAAGCATACATTTTACTGTGTCTTTACAACTGCTGCCAGAGGCAAATCAAAGCAAAACTGTAATAACAAAAACAGCTTACTGTTTATGGGACAGATATCAGTCATTTACATGAGTTCCAGGGAACTACACCTGTAAAGATGACCTTGGGCCCCATGCTTTCTTCATAAAAGACGTTCATAAAGCTATTAAATGTATAGAAGTGGAGACAAAAACTCCACTCAACAATGTTAAAGAAAAAACACATAATAACTGTATGTTGCAACTCCTACTACACTTTTTAGACAATGGGTAGAACAGTCTCATAAGCAGGTATCAGAACAGATTTATTAAACCATAGGAAAGGACTGACTTACTGTCTCAGAACACGATATTTTGCTGGAGACATGGAAATGAATGGCATTTTCACCCAAGATAATGTAAGAAACACCATAACCATCATCAGCCACCTAGGGGAAGAAAGAAGAGAAAAACAAGTTCCAAACTTTTTAGTTCCATTCCTAAATTATCTTAAACATAATTACACAATTCTTACTGTGCAGTTTTTAAAATCAGGTGCAATTTCTCCCCGAGCAAAAGTTAAGCTTCCACATATAATCCATAATTTCTGAAGACTGATGCCACTTAAGGAAACAGTTCTAGTCTCATCTGAAGTGCATGGAATTAACATTTTCTGAATCTATGTCTGTAATATTTCCCAGCTTTAGTATTTTGAAATAGAATACTTCTTCAAAGACCTTCTCCTATCAAGGTCTGGTCCTAAGCAACTATACAGCTTCAGTAGAATGTGCATAATTAGAAAGGACTAAAATAGTTTAGTTATATACCTAAATATCCTGATTCATGGGATCACTGCAGATGTAAACACACACAGTATATAAATACCAAGTACACAAGCCTTGTATTATGAAAACTTGCCCAAAGGCAAAGTTATCTGACTCTACAGCAAAGATATGATTCTGAACACACCTGTATCATGAGCAGAGCTTTTTCAACATTGGCAGTACAGTTAGTCCCAAGTTTCAGTCCAATGTTGTATTTAAAGTATGTCCAGTAAACAACGACTATCCTGCTGCCACCCTCCTTCCTCTCTTTCTTAACTCAAAGGTTCATAATCTCTTTGCTGACACTGCTGCTAAGCAGCCTTGATAGTCTTCTCCCCATTAATGCTACAGGGCTATATTCCACAGAATGCTTAAAAAAAACCCAAACAAAACTAACACACACCACATACACATAAAAAGCATGATATACTGAATCTTTGGGCTACTTCAGCAAACCAACGCGCAGTTTTTGTAGGGATACAAGAAATTATGAAGGGAAATGTAAGCAGGGTTATTTGGAAAGGCAGACAACTGAAGGAAGGACATTAAGACTGAAGAAATAGTAAGAAGGGAGCAGTTAATGTAGCATTAACAAAAGGAAAAAAGTGCTAGAAATTCCTGCACCCAAAAAACTATTTTATTGCAAAACCACACCTCTTTTGGGATTCTAAATACTGACTTTATAATCTGCTGCAGCAAGCGAGTTTCTCATGAATGAGCAGCGTGGCAATAGCTAGGCTTCCTTGATATTGCAATTTAAACTCATTCCAACTCCAAGAACTACTGAAAGGTGTATCAGAAACATGAATAAATACATTAAAAAAACCACACAAAAAACAGCTTCCAGCTTCAAAAACGAGCCAAAATACATTGTACTTGTCATCCTAATTTTTGTGTTCCAAAGAGCAGTCCTGTGATCCATCTCATTGTTCTTTCAACAGAAATGCTTGTTGAAAACAGATTGATCTAGTTTATAGCCCCATAAAGTCTGCTTAACAGATCTTGGTAACAACAATATCATCGATGGCCACGTTCAAATCCTGGTAAAATGCTACAGGATTTCAGAAGCTTCCAAAAATATCTAACAATACACTAGTTTCTTGCAAGTCTACAAAAGCTGTAGAACATAGTTTTATTCTTGACTTAACCACTACTCACACTTAGGCAGGCAAGCAGAACAACGTGAGTAGCTTAATTAGGAAGAAAGCATGAACACATCTTTTAATTAATCTGGAAATACAAAGAAGTAGTCAAGTATAATTACTTTTACAAATCCCAACCTTAAAATCTAGTTTAAGTAATAGGGCATTTGTCACTGTAATAATAGCCTGATGCACAGAAGCTCTGGGCATAGGTAATGTGATAAAGGCCCCCACTTTATCAGATCTCTCTGCCATGAAGCCCTGTACCACATTTGATAACTGTGTATCTCCTTAAGAATAATCCTTTCTTGTAGTGGGATATGAGAAAAAGGTGATGCAGATTTTTCTGAGCACATCCACATTATGGGAAAGCATTAAACACATGCATTTAAAATTATGTGTTGCACCTTTGATGTGCAACATTAAGGTATTACAGATCTGAAACTTTTAGACTGGCATATTCCAAATAAAACTGTTTTTAAAGGGGCACTTGTATTTAACAAACATACCGGTCCAAATCCTCCACCACAGGATAACATCTCAGGGTTCTTCTTTAGATCAATGTGTTGTTGTGGTGTCTGACTCGTTGACAGCCTCCAAGGCTCTGACAAAACCTTTATTAGATATGAGAGAGATACAAACAGGTATAACGTAGTGTTTAAGAACATGCAACTTTCTCAAAAACTAGTCAGGTTAAAAAGCACTCAATAAAGCAACAATAAGGATAACTCCAGTTCCCATTTCAATGGAATGAACAATTAAGAATGTTAAAAGAAACAGCTAAACTTGTCCTGGTATGCAAACCATGAACATATCAAGTCATGATGTCAATTCTTCAAAGAGAATAAAAGTTCTTTCAATAGAAATGCTATTTCAAAACAAGATTAATCTGGTCTACAGCCTGTAAATTCTGCATAACAGGTCTTTTTAACAACAAGATAATTAATGGCCATATTCAAATCCTGGTAAGATTCTAAATCAGGCTAGAAGCTTGTAAAATCTCCGACAATACAAATGGATCTTGAAAGTCTGCAGAAGCTGTAGAAAGTTGTTTTATTCTTTACTTAGCTGCTACTCACATTTAGGAGGGCAAGCAGATAAATGTGAGTAGCTTAATTTGGAGGCAAGCTGGAACATATTTTTTACTAATCATGAACACGTGCAATATAATTACTTTTATAAAACCCAACCTTAAAATCTACTTTAAGTAATACAGCATTTGTCACAGTAATAAAAGAGTGACTTTAAGGTTGTACATTAAAAACAAAAAATAAATAGCAATGCATAGCTCTAACTCATAGTAACTTAAAAGAAAGTGATTTTGTCACAGTTCTAAAAGAACATTCTTGAGAGAAAACACATAGCCTCTGTTGTGCTGCCTTGAAAATATTTAAAACACACACGTAACCAATACTCACTATATCTTTCTTGCAATCTTTAACAACATGTATTATACTACAAAGCTCACAGAAAGTATTACCACAGGTCTATTAATGTGTATACATAACCTTTTTTCTTAGGAAAAACAGAGTTCTGCAAGTATGTAAGCAGATACAACATAACACTAAGTAAACAAAGGATTACTTACTTTAATTTCTAGTTATCAATGAAAGTCACTTACTTCCTTAAGGAAAGGAGAATCTACAACAAGGTACTTGGACACAACATAAAGGCAAAACAGATGGCGGTCAATGCCAGCACCGGTCATGGCGAGACGATATAAGTGCTGATGTTTAGCAGCAGCAAGCCGAAAGAACTTAAGCTTATTTTCATTCTAACAATGGAAAAAAGAAGAAAAATCGGTTAATGAACTGGGTTGAGGATGAAGGTGTAGAAACTAAGTTACAGTAATGACTCTCCAGCCTAGAGGACTTAAGGGTCAAGTACAAGACAATGTATGCAATTAACACCAAATACTACTATTCTCTGGCTTTTCAACCTTGTGTATTCAATTTCCGGTATTAGCAAGTATCACCCTGCTGTAAACAGTGCATAATGAAAAACAAATTTGTATTTTAAGTGTGATCCAACACCAGAATCAAACGTGATTACAACTCAAGTTTACTAAATTACTGTATATTTAGTTCCTAGAGACTAACTCATACTAACTGCTCTTAAAAAGCTATAAGAGCAAATCTTAACATGATTCAAAAAAACCTGGAACTGCAGCAGCCATTTTAGAAGGCAAACTGACAATACTGAAAGTACTGGGGTCCATGAATGCTAGCCATTTTTTAAAAGCCTTCTCTTAAGAGCTTGGGAACAGGCAAATCCAAAGCGTCAAGCAAGTGGGACAGAAGGCCTGCTTGGCCAAGCAGGGATCTTCTAGAACTCAGGAGGAAAAGGAAAGGGTATGGACATTGGAAGCAAGGACAGGCAACACAGGAGGCCTACAGAGATACTGTTTGCCACTGCAGGTAGAAGATTCATGCAGCCAAAGGTTGATTAAAGTTCAAGCTGGCCAGTAATGTGAAGGACAACAAAAAGGACTCCTCCCAAATAGGGACGTAGACAAAGCAGAGACATTCAATGCCTTCTTCAGCTTCGTCTTTAACACTGATGAATGGCCCTGGGACACATGGAGCCCTGCACTGGAAGACTGTGACTGAGAGGGATGATAAACAACTCCCAACTGACTCTGAACTTGTTCAAGACTTGCTGCTGCAACTGGAGGCTCATAAGCCTATGGAGGCTAGTGGGACTCATCCCAGGATACTAAAAGAGCAGGCTGATGTTATCACAGGACCTCTCTCCATTATTGTTCAATGGTCTTGGGAATCTGGAGACGTCCCAGTCAACCGGAAGCTGACAAATATTGTCCCGATTTTCAAGAAGGGTAAGAAGGAAGACCCTGGTAATTACAGGCCTGTCAGTCCCAATTCAATGCCTGGTAAAATTATGGAGATGGTCATTCTGGCAGTTATTGAAAAACAATTGAGAGACATGTTGGCCACAGCCAAAATGGGTTCACGAAGGCAAAGTCTTGTTTAACTAACTTACCTTCCTTTATGACAAGGTCACCCATCTAGCTGGCCAAGGGAAGCCAGTAGACATACAGGATTTATTCTAGCAAAGCTTTTGATAACCATCTCTCGCAGTATCCTTCTGGACAAAATGTCAAGCATACAGCTACACAAGTTCATAATACATTGGGTGAACAATTGGCTAACAGGTTGGGCTCAAAGAGTTATAATAAATAGGGTTATATCAGGCTGGCAGCCAGTCACCAGTGGGGCTCCCCAGGGCTCAATTTTAGGGCTCTTTAACGTTTTTATAAGGGATCTGGATGCAGGAGTTTAATGTAGATGAAGTAAATTTGCCAATGACACTAAATTAGAAGGAGCTGTGGACTCCCCCTCCAGGGTAGAGAGGCCTTACAGAGATATCTGGATAGACCAAAGAGCTGGGCAATCACCAACCATTCAAAATTTAACAAGAGCAAGTGCTGGATTCTGCACCTGGGACAGGGTATTTCTGGTTAAATGTACAAACTGGGGGATGACAGGCTGGAGAACAGCCCCACAGAAAGAGATCTGGGAGTCTGGGTCAATGGCAATACGTGTCAATGGCAATATGTGTCAACAGTGTGCCCTGGCAGCCAAAAGGGCCAACTGTGTCCTTGGGGTGCACCCCGCACAGCATAGCTAGCCAGTTGAGGGTGCTGACTGTCCCACTCTACGCTGCCCCACCTTGAGTACTGTGTGCAGTTTTGGGCACCTCACTATAAGAAGGATATTGAGTGTGTCCAGAGGAGCGTGATCAAGACAGTGAAAGGTCTTGAGGGCAAGACTTATGAGGAGTGGCTGAGGTCACCTGGTTTGTTCAGCTTAGAGACGAGAAGGCTGAGGGGTGGTGATCTCATCTCAGCCTGCAACTTCCTCAAGAGGAGCAGTGGAGGGGGAGCTGCTGATCTCTCTGATGACTAGTGATAGGTCACAAGGAAATGGAATTAAGCTGCATTATGGGAGGTTCAGATTGGACATTAGGAAAATGTTCCCCACTGAAAGGGTGGTTGGTCAATGGAACAGGCTTCCCAGGGAAGTGGTCAGGGCATCAAGCCTATCAGAGTTCAAGGAGCATCTGGATGACATACTTAGTCATATGGTTTAGGTAGTCCTGCAAGGACCAGGGAGTTGGACTCCATGATCCTTATGGGTCCCTTCCAACTTGAGATATTCTATGACTCCATGAACACCATATGAATGTTGCAAGGGCGGAAAGAAAGTATGTGTTCAAAACACTTAAATAGCTACTTTGTTAAAATTTTATAATGTGGAACGCAACACACTGAGTATACAGCAACCTGTCACTACTTGTGTCCTCAAACCAGGACACTTCTTATCTCCAGCGTCACTGTATTTTACACCACTTTTCTGGGACACAGTGAGCAGCCTATTTGCCTCCTGCATGAGAAACTAAATCACTTACTAATAAATTACTTGTTGTCATGCTAAGCTTGCCTACCATTGGTATTCAGGAGTAAAGATTTGTGGACAGTCCATAGAGGATACAAATGCTCAGGAAAAATTCTAAGGAAAAACACAGAGAGAAGTAGAAGCAAGCCATAAAGGCAGACAACTATTTTTAAAATAATATATAAATGAATATAATATAATCTTCATAACGCATAAAAACTGCATTATGAAGGCAAGGTTCCTCTGGAACGATCAGCCACAGAGCAGATGAAGGGCAGTAATGTATCGACAAGTCTGAAAAAGCATCACGTAAAAAAACCAAATCACCAAACACAAAAAGCGAGCAGAATGAAATTTGCTATATGTATGATCCTGCCATGTATGTGGCTACCTTATTCCTTTAACAGAAATCCCGTTGTTAACTGCAGAGATACAATAGCAGTTTATTCTGACATTAGGACTATGCCAAAATTACTTTCTATAGAACAGGGTAGTTTTACAGTAGCTGTGCCAGACAGTTACCTATGACATGCTGACACGGCTGGATTTCCAGACTTGCACTGGCCTGATCAGAGCTCCCAGCACAGCATATTGAAAAATCCAGGGGGCTTTTACCTACATAGAACCTCCAGAAAGAGGAGGAAGAAAAGAGTTTCTCTCTTTTCTCTGTTCATCTATTTTCTTGCAGATTCATAGAATCATGGGACTAGAAAGAACCTCAACTACTCATTTGCTTAGACTTCTCCACCCTAAGATTTGATCAACCTCTTTCCTGAAGGACCATTACGTAATTTACTTTGAAAATCTTGAAGAGTGAAAAAACAACCTCCCCAAGCAATCTGTTTCAGGCTTCTTACTATCTCCTTCCTTACTCATTATCCTTTCTAGCAGAAAATGTTTCCCTCATGTTTCTTTCTGAAATTTAAGTCCATTACTTCTTGGGACAGAGAACAGATTTTTCTCATCATCTCTCCATCAGGGTTTTTATCCTCCTGAGCAGAACTTGGGTGCCTACCTCTTCCACAGTGTTTTCTCTTCTTCAGACTAGGCAAGAATAATTAAAGTTCAAATTCTCCTCACAAATCCTCTTCAGAGGTCTTTAACCATCCTTCTTGCTCTCCTTTAGACTCTCTCCAATCCATCCATCCATCACTCAAGTGTCCAATCCATCCATCCATCACTCAAGTGTGGTGTTCAAAACCAGACACACCACCCCAGCTAATACTGTACCACAAAAAAGTACAGAGACAAAAGACTAACAAAAATAAAGGGCAAGACTAACTAAAGTGACGGCTTCATTTTTCCCAATGGCATAGCACTGAATGTGCTATGTCAGTGTTCAATTACTGATTGTTTTAGTCCTAGATCTTTATTTGAACTTTCACCCACGCAGCTGTTACTGAGGCCTGGATGCAATACCTTGAGTAAATTCCTATTTAACAAAGTCCTCTTTTTCAGAACATCACAAGCAAGATTAAAAAGTCCACTGAAATCAACATGTAAGAGCAACGACTTATTTCCTGTGAATAATACTTGCTTCCCTATCAGAAAAGAAAGCCTAAGTGTTATAAGGTTACTTATTTTACAAATCTACGTTTACGTTTCACAGGTCACAAAATTTTCACAAGTCATCTCAGTTTTCTGGAGGTCAGGAGCTGTAAGAAATTACATATTTGGCTAAGTTACTGCCATACACTTTTAGTATAGACTTGAATTTCTGCCATACTGACAGAAAAATGTGGACAATTACCTTATGCTGCACTTTGTTCCTAAAAAACAAAGGCATCACTCTAAGTGCTTAAAAACTATCTGGGAACTTATATAGATATCTAGTGATAACTCATGTGCCTTATGGTTTGTATAAGGCAACACCACCATGAACTTACGCTTTCAGTTGGGTCTTCCATGGTTTGAACAAAATTACATGATTCAACAGTACATGAACGAACAGTTTCGGTCCTGCCTTCTCTGAACAAGCGTGTCATAGAGGCTTCATATGTTAAAGAAAATTTTCCCATGTCCTTGAAAAGGGAAAAATAAGAACTTAAAAGTTTAGCCAGACTTTGCCGCTCTTAATCAACAGTTCAAGGTAAGCACACAGGATATGAATCAGTCCACAAATTAAACTCAATGTTAAATTTTTAGTGGTCCACTATTAGCAGTCTTAACTATATATAATACAGGCAAAAATAAAATTAGTAGCAGGATTTGATAAATGCTAACAGAACAACCAAACTAGCAAGGATTACCCTCTGCATTTTATATTCAGTCTTTTTCAGTTTACAACAGAAACTGAAAGGCTATCAAAAACCTATTTGAAAGTTCAGGGGCTTCCCAATTAACACAGTTGTGGTAAGTAATCAAGAAAACTAACATCCTTACAAATATTTTCAGTTAAACATTTAACAGCATGGAGACACATGCCAGTGTGGGGATTTTCTAGAACGCAAGAACTGAACAGAGTATGCAAAATCCAGGAAGTGTGCCTCCCATATTTCCTGTAGATGTGCACAATCTACAAACTAAAAATTGCCAAACGATAGAAGTTTATCTAACACATTAGCAACTCTACCTGTCCAAAATATACATCAGAACAGATTGTGAAAGTCTATTCAGTTTTAGATTAAGAGGGTAGGTGTTCAAAGTAGAAGAGATGGGTGGATAATCAAACTATTTGCTGTGCAGCTATCCTAACTAATGGTAAGAAAGACTGTAAGTGGTGGTAGCAGCCAGGAAATTTGGATGCTTTGAACACACCCACCCCACCTCGTCCAAGAAAAAAAAGTAGAGCAGTATCTCAACAGTGACAACTAGAAAGCAAAATGCAAGTCATGCTACACTGGTGTTTTCTGAGAACACATTATAGAAAAAGTGAACTAACAGAAGAAAACACAGGCAGGCATTTCTGTTAATCAAATTGTTCCAAATTTAACATTATTCTAATTATGAACACAGCTACTACAAGTTTTATACCTACTTCTTTCAAGTCAAAAAATGCCCTGGAAAAGACCAACTAAGCAAAAAAAAATTTGCACGAGTGTCAATACGCCAACCTTTGGACAATTAGTTTCCAGCTAGTAATCTGTTTAGGGTTTATACCAATTTCCATTGAATGTCTTTAATAACCTTGCACAAGCAGCACAGGATTACTCTGAAGTACTTTACATAGTCACATATTTTAATCACAAACATGCTATACCCAATTTCATGAGATTCTATAAGCCAAAAACAGTCTGATCCTCTTACCCGATAGTGAGCAAGCTGCAGGGCAAGTTGCACGAAGGCATCAGGGCTGGTTTTTGCTTTCTTTATTTGTCCCTTCCCAAAAGCATCAAAGAAAAATGAATGGAAGTCTACATCATCTGCTAGAGCTGTGGCAGTGCTCAGAGACCTCTCAATCACTTCTTGACACTACAACAAATAAATAAAGGCACATAAATGCATATGCATGCAGTTGATGGCATTTGAGAGAACTGTTGAAAAAGTGAAAATATTTTTAATTGATAAATAAGAAATATTGCCTTTATGCATGCCAGGAATGTCATTATCTAAATAATCTCCCTTTGGAGAAAGCAGAGAAGCTATCTTTGCCAGGAAGTTAAAATTCAAAAAGCTAATAAAAAAAAGTTTTAAGCCAATGCACATCCGGAGTCCAAAAATTACACTTTTAAAAAAAATACCAGCATTAAGACTGTTCAGATCACTAGAACATAAAAGAACAGAGATAAAATGGCAATAGTTGTGTGGCTTCCAATCTGCTATGCTTGCTTAATTAAACGTATCACCAACCATTACCTTTTTATTCAAAGTTAAAATCCAAATAGGTGATGGCAGTTTCTCTTGAACTCAGGCAAAAAAAAAAAAAAAAAATCTAACCTTGATAGACACATATACAGAATTTTGAACACAAAAGACAGCTAATCTTACGGAACTATTATGCAGGAGCATTGTGACAACAGTAATGAAATCTCAGCAGCTTAAACTTCATCTTAATTATTATTTAAAATAGGTAGCCACTTATTTTTGACATACAAGAAAGTTTCCAGTAAAAAGTTGGCATTTCCCAGCCAGAATTTTTAAAGAGTGACGTTAAAAAACCTATGATATCTTTTTAAGTAAAGTGCGTAATGTCCACACATGAAATACACATCCTACAGGATTCAAAGGAATTTAAAGCTGATTTATAGGGTTATCAGCAATTACTTAAATGATTTGGCTGCTCAGGAAAAGAGGAGCTTCTTCCTCAATCCGCTAGCTGTTCTGTACTTACTTCTTCTGGAATTTCCCACTGTAGTTTGGTAGGGATAGGAATATTTTGATTGGTATCTCCTTTGCAATGCCCGTCTTCTGAATAGCCCAGTTCAAGATACTCAGTTGCCATTACATTCTGCAAAGAACGATACTTCCTCAGAATTGCAACACGTTCAATGTGGAATTAGGATTTCATTGCAAAAATCAATATAACCCATGTTCAGTACATAGTGAAATGCAATATACAATCTCTTTCTAATTATTGAAAACAGCTGCAAGTGAAACCCTCAGTTTTGCCTCTTATTTTAAGGCATTTTTACTTGTGTTCTGAGTGGGAAGAATATCAGATATGCACAAACAACTATTCAATCACATTGGTGCAATTTGTTAGATGCTACTGAATTAATCAAAATGTTTCAATTAAACACCCACCTCAAACTTACTAGTAGTAAAAAAGTCAGTCTTAGATTTCACAACCTTAGAGTCTTAGAATTTAGATTCTACAGAATTTCTACAAGTTACCTGTCAAAACTTGTTCATCAAGAAACAGTTTATTTTGGAGCAAGTACATACAAATCCCTGCAAGAATTTAATTATTTTTAAGGTTTGCATCCCACTCAAAATTGCTCTTTATTTTATATGTGCACTAGAGCTCTTGGGTGAGGAAGTATGTTTCCAAGATGAACAATACAACTTGAACAACAGACAAAAAGTCTGTCTTACAAGATTTCAAACAACATCCTCAAAGTAAAAAAAAAAAAAAAAAAAAAGACTGCATGGTCTACATGTATATTTCTAATCTCTTAATTTAACTTTCTCACTTAGTGATCAGAACACGCCAACTATGAAATAAAGCTTAATCCATTCTATTCTAAAAATAGACAATCTATAAAGAGCTAACAACAGATAACTTTTTAGGAAGTTAAATCCTACTTAGTTTATTTTAGTCATCTTTATTCTTAGCAGAAAATGAATCAACTCATAGTAAGTACAGAGATATAAACTAAAGCCTGTAACGTCATTCATTACAAGAAACAAAGTAATTCTTTTCCATTGAGCTAGTCTAAACTGTACTCTCAAGTCAATCTCAAATCAGTTTGGCCTTCTTTCTTCTCTGGTTAGAGAATGCAATGAGGATTTTGTGTTCTTACACACATGGAAACACTCCGATAATAAAATTGGGAAATTACTTGGGCTACCAGTCAGACCTGAGACCCATTTGAACAAATACATAATGAAATCAGAATTATCTAGTGTTTCTGAAATAGTTTTGTGTGACTGAGTCATGTAACCATTTATGGGTTTAAGCTTCAAAAAGAAAAAAAAAAAATCAAATAGAATTTCAAGTAATAAACTAAGTTAGTGATGACCAAACATGCATTATTCCACTGATTAAAAATAAATACAATAATTTAAACAGCATATCAATCTGCAGCTCATCAAACAATGGCTTAGAGGAAAAGTTAAAACTCTGTACACTACTAGAAAGCGGCTAGAAAGAAAGAAAGTGGCTAGAAAGAGGCGTAAGGAAGCTTAAGTGTTTCAAGGAGGGTGTACATACACAAAATACAATGCCCTATCAAAGAGGCAACAATCTATTGAATCAGAATATTCTAAACAAGTTAGATGGGGAGCTGTATCACTTTTCTATGAAGACATCTGTGCTCATTAAAATGCAATAAAGACATTTGATTTAAAGGACAGAAGTGTTTTCTGTTAAACAAGGGTTGGTTGGTTTTGGTTTGGTTTTTTTTTGTTTGTTGTTTTTTTTTTTTTTTTTTAAATTCCACAAGTGCTGTAGACACAGGCCCATAATCACTCATCAGCAACGTGAATGCAAGGAATTGAAAGTAACTGCTGATCTTCAGGACTGTTGCATGGACCGTATCACATTATCTTCTGCATTAACTTTTTGTACTAAATACCTACCTCCCACAGGTGTCCAACAATAGGAGCATCTGCCCAAGAGTGCTCTGCATTCAGACCCATTCTGCCATTTTTGAATACTATAAGAGAGAATGTTTTATCAAACCACCTACAAAAGAAATCAAGATTTCCTTATGGTTTTGTATATTTCAAAAGCATTTTTATACTGTAACTTCATCTCTCAAAAGTTCACATTTAAATGCACTAGTTGTTGGCTTTTTTTTTAATAATAGTTTTTCAATAGTAGTTTATTTAATTAAATAGACATAAATTTGAACCTCATGAAGTTCTACCACATGAACTTCATGAAGTGCAACAAAGCCAAGTGCAAAGTCCTGCACGTAAGTCAGGGCAATGCCCAGTATCAACAGACTGGGGGATGAATAGATTGAGCAGCCCTGCAGAGAAGGACTTGGCGTACTGGTGGATGAAAAACTGGACATGAGCCAGCAACGTGTGCTTGCAGCCCAGAAATACAATCATATCCTGGGCTGCATAAGAAGCAGCATGGCTGGCAGGTCAAGGGGAGGGGATTCTCACCATCTACTCTGCTCTTACAAGACCCCAGCTAGAGTCCTGCATCCAGCTCTGGGGTTCACAGTACAACAAATACAGGGACAGGTTAGAGTGGGTCCAGGTGAGGGCCATGAAAGTGTTCAAAGAGCTGGAACACCTCTCCCATGAAGAAAGGCTGAGAGTTGGGGTTGTTCAGCCTGGAGAAGAGAAGGCTCTAGGACACCTTCTTGGGGCTTTTCAATATATAAAGAGGGCTTATGAAACTGAGAAGTACTTTTTACCAGGACTAGTAGTGACAGGACAAGGGGCAACGGTTATAAACTGAAAGAGGATAGATTTAGATTCGTCATAAGGGAGAATTTTTTTTTTTTTTCCCACCCAATGAGGGTGGTGAGACACCGGGACAGGTTTCCCAGAGAAGTGGATATCCCATCATTGGAAGTATTCAAAGTCAGGCTGGACGAGGCTTTGAGCAATCTGATGTAGTGAAAAATGTCCCTGTCCATAGCAAGGGTTGTGCGTGTGGTGTGTGTGGACCAGATGATCTTTGAAGGACCCTTCCAACCCAAAACATTCTGTGATTCTATGAAATTTATCAGCTTATAAGTCACTATTTTGAATGTATTAGCCACATGAATTACTGAAATTCTAAGAAGAGAAGGCATTTTCCAGAGTCAGTGCTGTACCTGTCATAACATCTGCCATGTATTAAGGATTTTGCATAGGCATCCAGTGATCCCACTGGATCTTCTTTCCTGTACCCTTGATCGATGTCATCCAATGTCACAAAAAAAGCTGCTTTTTCAACAGCATCTAAGGACTGTTTGTTCTTTCCACGGCTAAAATAAGCCTGTCGAGCTTTAGCCCACGGTACTCTGCAAAACAGATTTGGTTTATAGCCAGATTACATCAATTTCTCAAAAAGTTTTATCACCTTTAAGTTCACTATGAGACATTCCTCCTACTTCTATCGAATTTGAAGCAACTACTTGAATTGTATTTAAACTATATCACCAGTGAAAAGTTCTGAAAATACACATACAATGTAATATTAGGAATCAATTAAACATATCACATGTGCAAAGCTTAATCCTCAGAAATTCAACATTTCTGTGGCATGCAATATGTATAATATAAGCCATCTGTGTTTATAGCTGAGCAAAAGAAAACGTATATTATATGGAAGAAGAAACTAGTAATATTAATAAAAACAATAAACAGATATGAGTATCCAGTGTTGTAATATCTAAATCTAAGAGTCTGGACAACTGTCAAGAAGAAGTTCCATGGTAAATTCCTGAAACAGACCTGAAGTTTAAGTCGTCCTGAATAAAGTAATTCCTGTATAGTTGTGCCATGTTTATTTATAAATTTATGTGATTTTCCCAATGAAAAAGTATTTCAGTTTGTTTTGAAGCAGAAAGAGAGAAAAAGGAAGGATTCTTAGTAAGAAAGTATATTAAAATCCACAGCTCTTTCTCTCCCTCATCCAGAATCAACTATACAGAGATTGTCACGATTTAATTGAACTCAATCATCTTGCACTGAGAATCAAGTACATCGGGCTTTATTTTATTGGTGCAAATCATGAATATGGAGTAACAGTTACTGAATTCACATCCCAATTTTAATTTTAAGACAGTCTTTAAAATGCCAGTGAACCCCTGAGTAGATATAAAACACAAATAGTTCAATATGTGTAATACTGTAAAGCTTCAAATTACAACTCTTATGATAACCCCAATTAAACCAGTTAGTACAGATAATCTGTATACAGGGTTGCCACTGCAAAATTACTTTTAACTCCATATAGTTACAAATGATTGAACAGCTGTAACATACTAGCAATATACAAAAATCAGTGATCGAGGTGTAATCAACTGACTGCAGACTATCTTAAAATTCCAAAGCCAATACTCAATTAATATGTTATGCAACTATTTCTAAATATTACAATTTTAAAGAATAATAACCAGCATACCTATCTCCTGCAGTAAGAGCTGCTAGCTTCTCTTCACCAGCCTGAGGCTCTGAATCATCATCAAGAATTCTTTGTATCTGCTGTTCAATTTCTCGGGGTTTCAGTAGTCTACCATCATGGTACAGCCACACTTTGAAGTAACGGCCCTTGTGATACACAACAATGTGTTTGCTGTCTTTCACATGCTGGAGAGTATCTAGAATTGCAATAACTTACGTGAAAACAAAGCTGAAGTCTCAAAACACTAATGCACTAAATAACATCAAATGCCTACTACAGGCACTACCAGTTAGCCACAGCTTATTTATTTTAACAAAATAATAAACACTGTGGAATAAACTGCTCCGCTCCCCCATGTTATTTCAGCACAAAGTTTCCTGCATGAAACAGTCAAATACCCAGATTTGATAATCGTTTGCATATATAGCACCACCAGTTTCCACACTGGAGACCAATATTAACCAACTAAATCTGCATTACTGTATCTGAAAAGTAAGCACTAGTGTGTAGTCTGATTAAGCAGTCAGGCAAAGAACAACCTAGATGAGTCTGAGGAAAGGTACTTTTAAATCATCTGCATACAAGTGCTAGACAACTCACCGTACAAGCTGTGGGGAGTCTTAAGAGCCCAGATTTAGTAACATAAACTTTTGTTCACATTTACCCTGGCAGATGCAGAGTGAATACTCCATCTATGGCCAAAAAGTATAGTGTTACGGAAGTCAGTGAAGCAGAAACCCAGGCCACAAGTTTTTCCTCACTTTATTATTTATAATGCTTAATTGGGATAAGCTGAACATAGTCATGTACCAAACCACAGATGAAGGTTTCTACAGCAGCCAGGAAAAGCCCTCAATTGACAAAACCTGTTAATTCAGTCCCTTTACTACCCCAAAGAACTGTTATATTCCTATGAATCTGAAAATACCCATTACTGAGATGGGTCTAAGATGAAGAAAGATGACACCAAAAGCGAGGAGCCATGATTCTGAGAGATCTGAGAAACTTTGCACCAGGAAAGAGCTCTATACATTGAGTGCTCTCAGCTATCCATAATTTCTTGGTAGGTATGCTCCATCTACTGATCAGAGGCAGTTTTACACTAATCATGCCTTTGGCTATCCACTTTGCATTTCTGCCAAAGATAGGATGCCTGTGATAAAAGTGCTAGGATTGGCAGAAGCATCACTCCAACTGTCAAGTAATTGATAACTTGTAATTAATACAATAGGTCATGACTTGAGGAGAAACTCCACAGAGGGGGAAAAGAAGCAGCAAAGCAATCAGCTAGTGATGTAACTTTTTCTATAATCCCATCCTGAGTCAGGACACCTCACGTATTTGTCTCATGTACCGTACAAAAGACAACCTGAGTGTAAAAAGCAGAAGAAAGATCATTAGTCATCTACATCAACAACTGACTTCACAACAGTTGTTGAGCCTTGGCAATTACTTTCAGACACATTACTTATGGGCCCAAGTACAGATTTGTTGTAATAGGAAAAAAAAAAATCCTTTCTTTTTCTTGCCAGTCCAAGAAATAATTTATGTACATCTGAAGATGCACATGACATGCAGCATGGGTTTCCTATTAAAAAAAAAAAAAGGGAATGGAAAGACATAAAAGCTCTTCCCTGCTTAAAAGAAGTGGGTCACTCCATAGTGTGTTTTGTCAAAAGACGTGAAACTTGAACAACTGCTCAAATGACAAGATACAATGTTCATTAAGATTTTATCACCAATTAAAATGAAGACATGCCACAGATTTTTTTTTTTTTTTTTAATATGCTGCTCCTTTAGGAATGGTAACATACACAAAATACAACTGAAATCAGGGGGAAAGAAATCAAGCTACTCATGAGAATCTGGGAAAAATGTCTTTATAACTCACTTAGTCATATACAGAATGACAAAATTTGGTTTTCCTTTAGAAAAGTAGAAAATTAAAAATTGAAAAAGTAAACTAGGAAATGTGAAGTGCTTAAGAAGAAAATAAGGTAAATTTATGATGCTGACTGTAATTTAATTGGAAAGACTTTAAGCAGGAGAAACTGAGGCGAACCATTAAGATATACAGGATGTATTTTAATCAGGTGTTACAGGTAGAATTGGCGACTTCTACACTTCTGTGCAAAACTCGTTTTAGACTAAGAGAACACCAAATCCAAAGCTAAATACAAGCAGTTCATAACTTCTATTTCACTTAGAGAGAAGGGGCAAGGATAACACTTTCAGTACTTGAAGTATTCTAAATAACATTGGCTCATACACTACAGTTGTCTAACAGAGACTTTAAAACTTGCTAGCCTACTTAAGCTACTAGTTCATGATCAGGGAGTAATCACATCAGGGATATGTTTTTCTCCATTTTGCACATAAAGGAAGCTGAGGCATAGCTAGGAAGTAATTCCTCAATAATCTACCAAAGGCCAGCAGCAGAACTGAGTGTAAAATCCTTATCTGACAGACGCATCTACTGCTTTATCTATTAGCCAATGCCACTTCCCCCTGCTTAACCAACCTCATACAGCAAATATCAGACCTCCAGCAGGGAAGAGTGAGCACATCCCTGTGTCTGTTTACAAACTCTTCATGTTGTTTATTCTGTAGTTGAATGGGACTAACATGCTCAAAGGCAGCTTGAAATGCAAGAGTGAGAAAGTAAAAAAAAAATAAAATAAAATCCTACCTTCAAGTAACAGCCCATACGTACATTCCCAATGAACATGACTAACCAATAACCCCTTGTATTCCAAATTCTTAGTGATTGTCCTCTGTGCTAATCATGTCTGTCAGGATAACTCTGCGAAATTCTGTATTTCATTCTGATGCTCCCACAGTGATGCAGTGTTGGATAAACATGCAAATTCAGTTCTAAGAGGCTCTTCAGCTTATAATCAGATCAGAGAAACCTAGATATAGCTTAAGCTTTTGTAGAAAGCACAACACCAGCAGTCTTTACTGAAACCTGCTGTGAAATTATTAGTTCGCTTCTCAAAGAACGAGAAAATGGATAGTGACGATTTTTTCCACCTGTTGACTAGAAATGTTAGTATTTCTATGCGATCTGCCTCCTTTTACAGTGACAAAACTCAGGAAAAATAGCCATTTTAACATTAAGATCATAAAAACCAGCTTGAGCCTGGAATATTTAGGATATCCTGATAGAGATATTTGGAGGCTACCTTGGGGAGAAACCCACGATGAACCTTTAGGGACACATTACCTTTAGAAAAATGACACCATATGGAAAATAATCAGCCTCAAGATCTTGGATGATGTACTGACCACCAAAAACACATGATATTTTTACGGTGAGATACAACAAATAACTTATCAAAGGTTTGCCATTGACTAAAGTGAAATGCTTTTATGTCTATAGACAGTGTTAATGAGTGCATGCAATGAGAGCATATGTACTCCTACACTGAGAAAGTGTATATGAACTGCTACTCACAGGTACAATATTTTTTTTTTTTTTGACTGAGCTAACATGATTGCTTGTAATCATGTAAACATATCCTTAGTCTCCCACAATAAGCAGAAGTTGCAGAAAGAGACTCAGGTGAAAGTGACCCTGCTGTAAGTCAACAGGTATGCCCCTCTATTCAACATTAAAATGTGAAAACTTAGTTACTCATAGCTTAGGATAATCAGGCCACTGCTTCAAGTTAGGGCAGGGCAGGAACTAACAAAACCCAGAGTATGTATTTTCTTAATGTCATACAGAGAAAATTTTGGACACAGTCCTTATTAGAGGCGATTTCACTGAGCTGATGTCATATAGTGCATACAAAAGGTGAAGGTAACAGTGGCATTGGAAACCATGACAGGAATAAGATTGTACCTGCCTCTAAACCAGGTAAACAACTAGTGTTGAGAAGGACACATTGGGATGTTGTTGTGACTCATAAGCTGAAAGGAAAAAGGGAAAGTCAAGCACGCAAAAGATTTTAAAATGGTTCAGATGAGAGCACAACTTTTACAAAGATAAAAACATGGATATCAAAGGATCGTGAAAGAGTAGAAAGGAGAAAAGTAAAGGTTATTTATAAATTAAAGACACAGGACAGATAACAGTTCCTTGAAGTTAGTTTTTAATTTAAGTAAAGAAAGAGCTAAAAATAATTGATGAAGTTTCAAAATCATCCTAAAAGGAAAAACATCTATGCACTCTATAGCAATTCATTACTTCCTCAGTATTGGAACACAGTACTGGTGTGTCCTTGTGTTTGTCACATCCTTATCTGGACCAACAGAGTTTCAGCAGAAAATATCCCAAAACCTGAATTCCATTAAGAAGTTTATTCTCCTTGGCTGGCCCTGCTTACCTGATTCCTCTCCTGGAATACGGGAGGTATTAAACATTCGTTCCCACTGAGCTGAGCAGAGTGGAACAGTAGATCCCATCAGTAGAATCTGTGCCGAAAAAGTACATTAAAATGTAATTTTGCATACACAGTTGGCAAATTAAAAAGGAAAGAAAAAATAGGATCTGCTTAGAGACAGGCTGTAGAACAGTAAGATTTATAATACACCAACTCAGGGTTGTTCACCACCATCCCTCCTTCATTGTCTTTCCTTGAACTACGTGTGGAAGATCACACTGACATTCCAGTAGCTGTATTTCCCACTCCACCCCTCCCCACCCCCCCCAAAAGCTCCCCCTTCAGGAGGGATGACTGAAGCTAGCTAGCATCTGAAATTCAAAGAGCTCTCAATGGCCAGTCCAGGTGCAAAACTTACACGTGCAGCATGTATTACACCTTAATTTCTTCTTTTAAAGCTATTTCTGGCTTTTTAGGAACAAAAGTTCACATTTCTCAGATTTGTAGTTACATACAACTAATCACATGCCTGCCGTGACCTTCAACAAAACTACTTAATTGTTTCCACAATATTTCATCGCTACAACACACAGCCACTGGACAGAACAATCTATACTTAGGCTTCCACTGGCCCACACTTGGCCCCAAGGCCCAGTCCTTTGTCCCAACCACCCCCTGTGCTCACACTACGTGATTCCACAGACTTTTCAGACTTCAGTGGCTCAAAAGTACCATTACATGCTTAGTACATACCACAGTAACATCTGTTATACAGAATACTTAAGTTTTGCAAGTATGAGCCTCTATTTGTCTTGTGGGCAAATACATGTTAATTTCAAATAACTCCATTAGTTGGCATGACAGAATCCTGTATTTTTCATAGTTGGTAGTTTCTGCCCACATGTGATTTAAGTGATAATCAAGATGTTTGGGACCATAAATTTAGCTACATCTTAAAAGTAGTTCTGACAAGAAGACACTCCTCTCCTGTCCCATTCTGAAAACTGATCAACTTCTTACAGACTGTGCTGGAAAAAGATGAAAAGCCATTTAAACTTATATACATACTGGCTTGATTTCTTGTCTGTCCAGTTTTTTCCGGTAGAGTAGGATGGCATGGATAACATTACCAGCTCTAGCTGCCTGCAGGGTTGTGGGAGATAAATAAAGGAAATCCTGTAAAGTAAATAAGAATCATAAGTTATTGATTACCGGACTACATTTAAAAAACAAAACAAAACACCACAAAAAACAACTGATAGTATGTCTCATCCATGTTCTTGAAGTTTATTCTGGTCAAGATAGAAAAGGCTTTAAAGCATATGAAGAGCAATAGTGCAGCAAGTTGATGACTTGAAACCTAAGTTTCTTTAACAGTCACAATCACCTTAACCAAGGTCAGTTCTAAAACAGACACAACAGTTGTTAATCATCCCAGTAGAAAAGACAATGCTACTTAAAAATTGAATCCAAGATGGCTATACTTCCTCTATTTGCTTTTTAGTCTTTTACAATTTAACTTCCCATACAGATATTTGTGAATATGAGCACACGCCTTGTTGAATTGTGTTACCTATGAAGTTTTACATAGAGCTTTTGAAAGATTGCTTGCTGCAGTAAGCACAAAACTCTAAGTCATTACTGCATGAGTCTGCCTAAGTGGCAGATGTGCCAAGTTTATTATTAAGATAGCACTGTATTTGAAGACACTGGCTGCAGGTTACACTAGAACAAAGAAAAGCAAAGGTCATATAGTCAGTGGCAATGGAATTCTAAACAGAAAGATATCATGAAATAAGATATCTGGCAGAAATTTTACAGTGCTTTCTTGACACATAAGGTATTTATAGTCTTTACCTACCATTGCAAAATAGTTACTATTAACCATAATCGGTCCACGTCCTCTAAGGTAGATATATTCTTCCCACCAATCACTAACCTATAGCAGGAAGGAAAATAAAAGCAGTAAAACCTTGTAATTTCCACAGTTTGTGTTTTCTACCTTTATGACTCCACAAAACAACATTCCATACAGAAGCAGGAAGGAAATTCCTAGCTTGCCCCACTACTTAAAAGACAAACAAAAAAAATTTAATTTGAGTTAAACTTTAGGGAAAAGAGCAAAAAAGGGGAGAGAATTAAATTAAATATAGCTGTAGCTCTCTGATAAACTTCTGAAGAAGTCATCATCTTCAGATAATATTTAAAATGTATCAGATCTCCTCAATGTTTTGCAGGCTTTGACAGGACACTGTAGCTCAGCTTAGGCTACTGGGTACAGCTAGATAATATATCAGGAAGGAATGACATCACAGTTCTTACTATGATGTTGGGGTTTGGGTTTTCTATTTCGTAAAAAAACCCACTTGCTGTTACAGTTCCTTATTTGTGTTCCATATGCTTTAGCTTCTCTATATAAAAAAATTGTCCTAAATCAGTCTTCTAAACTACCTGGGTAGCCAGGCCCACTGTTGAGTTACCAAACTTAACAAGCAAATAAACAGACCTCAAAAGCAACCATATCAGCAAAAGCTAAATCACCTGCTCCAGAATAACAAACACAAAATGGGGATTCATTCTTTCAAGTTCCATTCACCACACTGTTTACCAAGTCACACAAATTATTTCTGTGCAAATCAGGGGGTCTCCAATGCACTTCGCAAAAATATTAGGCACAATTGCCTTCTTTTACATTTAAGAAAGAATGAAAATTTAGCCAAAAAAGGCAACAGAGAAAAATCGTGTCACTTGAATAATTGAGCCTCCTATTTAACTACTCACATAGTTTGTGGCCCACCAGGACTTCAGCTTCAAATACCACTGAAGCCTTGGTCCCAAATTAAATGCAAAATCTTTGGCAAGACCCTCCATTCTTCTGAACTCTTCATCATCCATAAGTGGCCGAACTGATTCCAAATACTAGAATACAGGAAAAGAATCAGCATCAGTAGAGTAACTAATATGTAGCTTCTCGCCATTCCTACACAAAGCATTTGAAGAGTAGACAAAGATTATACAGACTCAATTTATAAGGTTGCAAGTACTACAGTATTAAAATAAGAGCATACACTCTTCTAAATATCTGGCTGCAAACTAAGAAAATGAGATCTTTTTCCAGACATTTGTCAGGAAATCACAAGTAGAAGAGGTTACTTTTCTAAAGATACATTTTCGACTCAAAAGGGAAATCACAGAGAGGTATTTTTTTCCTCTCTAAAAAATTAAACCTTCAGTTTCTGTGACGTACTGTCCTACTTACAAACTTTGCTACAAGGTTTTCTGTCATAAAACACACATTTATATGTTCAAGCTGTAGAAGATAAGAAAATTAATAGGTTTCAAAAGCTCTGGAAATCACACTTTGTTGCATAGTCTTACATCAACAGTCATCACATCATCCAATACGAATTACAACAGCTTCAAGTTGTCACCAGTTTGAGTGGCTTGTCATAGCCAGTATTTTAATTTCTATGCAGAAGTTTTAATCCGTTACACCATATTAATACCACCATGCAATACTTTTATAATACATGACAAAAAAAAACCACAAGGGCATCTAAATATGGACTCAGTGTTACAGAAGATAATTGGGAATACAATACATCAGGGAAGGAACAGTCTAGAAGGTTCCTGGAATGTACTGGGGATAACTTCCTGACACAGCTGGTGAGGGAGCCAACTAGGGCAGCTGCTCTGCTGGAACTGCTGTTTGTAAACAGGGTCTTGTGGGGAATGTGACAGTTGGAGGCTGTCTTGGGAACGGTGATCATGAAATGATAGAGTTCTTGATCCTGGGACAAGCAAGGAGAGTCAGCAGAACTGCTACCTTGGACTTCCGGAGGGCAGACTTTGGGCTTTTCAGGAGCCTGGTTGACAAAGTCCCCTGGGAGGCAGTCCTCCAGGGCAAAGTAGCCAAAGAAGCCTGGATGTTTTTCAAGAAGGAAGTCTTAAGAGGCACAGGAGCAGTCTGTCCCCGTGTGCCGAAAGACAAGCCCTCAGGGAAAAAGACCAGCCTGGCTGAACAGGAAGCTAGGGTTGCAACTTAGGGACAAAAAGAGGATTTATGGCCTTTGGAAGGAAGGGCAGGCAGGTACTTAACGCCATCTTTGCCTCAGTCTTCAGCAGTAGGACCAGTTGTTCCCTGAGTACCCAGACCCCTAAGCTAGAAGACAGGGAGCAGAATGAAGTCCCCATAATGCAAGGGGAAATGGTGAGGGACCTGCTTTAGCACCTGGAGATACAGAAATCTATGGGACCGGAAAGGATCCACCCGAGGGTACTGAAGGAGCTGGCAGAAGTGCTAACCAGGCCACTTTGCATCATTTATGAGCAGTCCTGGCTAATCGGGGAGGTCCTAGCTGATTGGAGATTGGCAAATGTGATACCCATCCACAAGAAGGGCTGGAAGGAGGATCCAGGCAACTACAGGCTAGTCAGTCTGACCTCAGTGACTGGGAAGGTCACGGAACAGATCATCCTCAGTGCCATTACACGGCACATGCAGGAGAACAGGGTGATCAGGCCCAGTCAGCATGGGTTTATGAAAGGCAGGTCATGCCTGACCAACCTGATCTCCCTTCTATGATAAGGTGATCCACTCAGTGAATGACGGAAAAGCTGTGGATATTATCTACCTGGATTTTTGCAAGGCTTTTGACACCAGGTCCCACAGCATTCTCCTGGAGAAACTGGCTGCTCATGGTCTGGACAGGTGTACTCTTCACTGGGTAAAAAAACTGGCTGGATGGCCCTGCCCAGTGAGTGGTGGTGAATGAAGTTAAATCCAGTTGATGTCTGGTCACAAACGGTGTCGCCGAGGGCTCAGTGCTGGGGCCAGTTCTCTTTAATATCTTTTATCAGTGATCTGGATGAGGGGATCAAATGCACCCTCATAAGTTCGCAGATGACACTAAGCTAGGCAGGCCTGTTGATCTGCTTGATGGTAGGATGGCTCTGCAGAGGGATCTGGACACGCTGGATCGATGGGCCAAGGCCAATGGTATGAGGTTCAACAAGGCCAAGTGTTGGGTCCTGCACCTGGGTCACAACAACCCCATGCAGTGCTACAGGCTTGGGGAAGAGTGGCTTGAAAGCTGCCCAGCAGAAAAGGACCTGGGGGTGTTGGTGGACAGCCGGCTGAATATGAGCCGGCAGTGTGCCCAGGTGGCCAAGAAGGCCAACAGCATCCTAGCCTGTATCAGGAATAGAGTGGTGAGCAGGACTAGGGAAGTGATCATCCCCCTGTACTCGGCACTGGTGAGGCCCCACCTCGAGTACTGTGTTCAGTTTTGGGCCCCTCACTACAAGACAGACATTGAGGTGTTGGATCGTGTCCAGAGAAGGGCTACAAAGCTGGTGAGGGGTCTGGAGGACAAGCCTTATGAAGGAACAACTGAGGGAACTGGAGTTGTCTAGCCTGGAGAAGAGGAGGATGAGGGGAGACCTTATCACCCTCTACAACTACCTGAAAGGAGGTTGCAGAGCGGTTGGGGCTGACCTCTTCTCCCTGGTGAAAAGTGATAGGATGAGAGGAAACGGATTCAAGTTATGTCAGGGAAGGTTTAGATTGGATATTAGGAAACATTTTTTCACTGAAAGGGGTATTAGACATTGGAATAGCTGCCCAGGGAGGTGGTGGATTTGCCATCCCTAGAGGTGTTTAAAAAAAAAAAAGGTAGATGTGGTGTTTATGGACATGGTTTAGAGGTGGTTTTGTCAGGGTAGATTGACGGTTGAACTTGATCTTAAAGGTCCCTTCCCACCTTAGTGATTCTATGATAAATAAATGAATGTACACACCCTACTGACTGTGTCTTTAACAGCTGGAACTGGCAGTCGTGGTAAAGATGTCTGGAAACTGTATAACATGGGCTTACGTCCTGAGAAGAGTTTCACAAGTGCCTGAAGAAAAACAAAAACAAAATACACACCTCAAATTATTAGGTTCTACAAAAGGAAAATGACAGAGCACAAAAGTGTAATGTAACTCATAGTTCTTTTCACTGGTAAATTATACTGTACTTAATTTAGCAAACTACCCTATTTATCACTGTTTCAAAAATAAAAAAGGCACTAACAAACTAACTTCTTGAAGGTGAGACAACATGTCAGTGGAAGAGAAAGACAGCCATAGTAATTCCTGACTTCCCAGACAATTCTTCTGGTCGTTCAGAAGTATTGTTGTTTTTGAATGGCCCATCTTGATCTCAACAGAAAATAAAGACAGAGTTACTTAGCACTTTTTTTTTTCCCATATATTTCCCTCTGTAAACATGAAAAAAAAGTAAGTCTACCAGTTGATCTTTTACTATATAGTAGATACTACACAAATATCTATGTTGTGCTTCAAAATAGGAATCATTATCAAGCCCGTCACTCAGCTAAGGATTCCAGATAACTATAGCCACTTTTAAAAATAATAGTTATGCTTTTGAATCATAGTTTAATATTTTCCAAAGTTATAGCTCAACATCAATAATAGTATTGATGCTACAGGGAGTTTTCTCAAACATGAGTCTATCTCAGGTAGTCTACTGCATGATTTGAACATACCAAATTGTGCGAGTATGCCAGTGTTATACTCAGTGCTTGTGTTAAAAAAAAACAAACCACACAACGCAACAATCAATGAAACAGAAATGCCAGAGATGACAGTTCCCATTTAGCTTCAGATATTACAGCATCTCCTGTCTTCAGTCTCCCATGGAAAACAGAAGCAGCATTTCTGTCTACAACTACTGCTCAGCTGCAACACACACTAGGCTGAAAGTCTAGACCATGCAACTTCTATGCTACACATGAAAGGATTTTGACATCATCACCCTATTTCAGCATGAAAGTAAGGTCAAGTATTACACCAACAATCCAGTGGAACCTTTATTATCAAAATCCAACCTTGGTCCAATATACTATACTGTATATTGCATATAGGCCAATAGACTAAAGACAGAAGAAAAAAAGAGGATGTCAATTTTGCTACTTAATTCCTAGAACTTCTCCCTTCTATCCCCTCCATGACCGACAAAACTATGTGTTAAAATGTGGAGTTGCCCCCTGCCCTTCAACTTCCTTGGTCAGCACAGCTAGAGGAGGTTGTTTTAGGCAGCACAAAATTATTAAGAATTGCAGAGTATTACTAGCAACAAAGACCTTCCTGCAAATGGATCTGTATCAGAGAGTTGTCAGGCGTACATGGATGCACCACAGCAATCAGCCCAATGAAAACTAGTTGTGCTTCACGATAAGATAAATTTGAAGCTAGGTGAGGAGAAAAGAGCTCAGCTTTTCATAAGAAAATCTAATTCCATACTTGGAGACAATTTTATTCTAGAATTCTTAAGCCAGGAAAGACTGAAATTACCTTCAGACAGAGAGTAACTGCTCAACTGACAAAAACAGCAAACATTTCTCAGTATTTATCTCTTAAGTAAACTTGTAGTAGAGAATTTATAACAGCTTAAGACCATTAAAGTGGTATGACAGACATGTATACTTAATTACATCTCTGATTTCATATGCAGATAGCAAATAATCTCATTCTAGCATGCATTGCATCTGTTCACAGACTATTTAACTTATTTTTTAAAGCTGCAACTAATACTTGGATTTTCCCCTAATTCTGGCACAGGAAATTTGACTTTAGAAGATGAAATACGTTCATAAACACTGCCACCAGACTTCCAACCAGCCCGAAAATCACTTTGTACTGTGCCTGAAATCAGAGCTCAGGTTTCTTATCTGCACAACTATTTGAACAGATGACAGTATATTCACAATAGCATTTTTCATGCTGTTAATCAGCTAAGAAGAAAAAAAAAACCACCAAAAAACAGGAAAACCCCTTCAGAAAATTACACAGTATTAAAGGACAATAAAAATTTAGAAAGCTAAGGTAGTTGGTACTGTTTTACTAGGGAAACCAGTCTTTTGTTGGGACTAGCTAAAGACTAAGATATTAAAACAGAGCTTCATATTAAGTATAAATGAGACACTGTTGGGCATACACCTTTATAGTGTTCTATATTTTAAAACATAAATAATACACAGTAAAATATATATGCAACATACAATAAACAAAAATTTATAAATACCATATGCAGCAAAGCATGGTAAGTAGCATTACAGTTTATACTGTTTCAGGTTGATAAGACAATGTTAACAGCCTTAAAATATCTATCTAGTAGGACATGCTGAAAACCCAGACAGCTGCAGCTTCAAGCAATTGACAGAAGGCCTTACCATTCAGAGCCTGTACTGTACAAACTCAAGTCATGAGGGTCCTGATACCGCTTCCAGAAGAAACTATCAATTAGAAATCTCATTTATAACAGATGAACATTAAATTCTGTTCTAGTATACCACTCTGGATACCTGTTCTTAAACATATTTCATAATAAATCATGATATGTTGTTAGTCTAACACACATCAGTTAATTTTTGAGGCTGCAGAGATTAATTTTATTGTAGTAGGGCACTTAAGTTATTTCTACAACAATGCTGGCAGAAGTGAATTGAAACAACCAAGTCCAAGTAACAAAAACCCACTTTATCTCTTGGAGCACCTATATGTACATTTTCTCACTTTACACCTACCACATCCTTTAAGGATCCTTTTCCAAAGCACCACAATAATCAACAGGAGCCATATCACTCTCATCTTATCCTTATATGAAAACTGCATAACAAGCTACCTACCATATGCTTTTTCCTCCAACTCATTTTGGAGGCATACCACTAAATCAATTGAAAGGACATTCAATATTATTTTCTTCAAGTATAAGATTAATTTTAGAATGGATGACTAGAAATCCTAACATTTCAACAAAGAATAAGGATAGCACTTTCTGGGGAGGACAAAATTCTTTGGTGCTGCAGCCCAGGTTCTTTAAGCTGCAGTTGTGCACATAAAAAAAAGTAGGTATTTGAGTGACACAGTCCCAAAGCATTGGCAAATTTAGACATTCTTCTTGAAGTGTTTACTCTTCCTTCTTCAAGGCCATCCTGAATAGCCTAATTAGAGCATCAGAAGGATTACAGCGATTAGTAGAAATATCTACCTAACAGCCTCCTGCTCCATGACAGAAAACACAGGCAAGGAAAAACCTACAAAACTTTATCTTTCAGGGCTTTGAATACAGATCAGATAGAAGTTAAGATGAAACAGGAAGATAGTATATCCTTACCATCCAAAACTTGGTGCCTGGAGAAAGTTTGCCATGTTCAGCGAACATCCAACCATGATACGAAAGCAGCATTTTTAGAGAGTAGCGCATTGTCACAATAAGGGCAACCCAAAGCCCAGTGCCAAAAAGTATTCCACTCACGACGTTCTGTGTTTGGTTTGACATATAGCCACTATTTAAAACAAAAGGCAGCATGTGCCAGTTAATGCCAGTTTAAGTGTTAAAGAGAACCTAATATTGCAAACCTAAGTCTAATGGTACCACAGGCAGGCATTACACAAGCTTCATGCCTGTTTAGCCCTTTTTCAGAAACTCCTTTTCAAACACCCTTTCACGCAGCAAGATCAAACGCCAGAGAAGTTGCTAAATGTGCTTCCCAAATGCTCAGAAAACAATATAATACTCGTATAACCACCTGCCTATTTCACACCCTCATACATCTGCTTATTGGGCTTACTTTTGCAAGCATACTGTTCAAAAACTGATACACTTTAACAGGATTAGCTTTAGGAGTAGCTACTAATAAAACTGATTCATTTCGAGGAACAGAAACTTTTTGGTCTACTTACGTTGTATCAAGTGTTCGGTTGATTTTAGCTATTATTCCTAAAGACGGATCAATTTTGGCATACATTGTTGACATCACACCCACAACTACAATGAGCCAGCTAGATGGACTAGCAGGATAAACGCCAGTGATAATTCCATTCTGGAAAGAAAAGCCTTCACATAATTTTTTTCATACTAAAGTGGCTGACTTCATATTACCATGGAAAGAAACAAAAATCAACACGTTTAAGTCGTTTAGCTTTAAACAAGAAGTTAAGATTATCCAACATTGTCTTACATATGCTTAACTCAGGAGTAGGGACTCGATTTAGTTAAGTTTGACTGCTAGAGAAAATTGTCACAATCATATGAAGAATTAAAGGAACTTTTACGTTCTGTTGTAGACATCAATGATCCACATGCAAGGCCTACTAAAAATACTGAAATTAGCAAACAACTTCAGAACAAGTGATACTTCAACAATTCCCTTTTACACTGAAGTAGGCCTCTCTAAACGAATACAGGGCAAAAATATTTTACTGAACAAGACACTGAAAACTGGAATCAGGTTTGTTTGGTTGGTTTGTTATTTTTTTAATATACATAATTTAAACAGTCCTCACACCTTTATAAGATTTTATTAAGACTACTGTTAAAAATATGTTTCGGAAAGATGTAGAAGATAGTCTGTAGCTTGTCTAGTTTGCTACTAAAAAAGTAGACACTTATTATTTATGATCCCATGAACAAAACAATAAATTCACAACAATCTATATCAAATACCTCACCAGAAACATTACTACTTCAGACATCTTGAACAAGATGGATGTTCAGGCAGCTTTTTGAAAACAGCAAAATTTGAAAATTTGATTTTGGCAAAGAATACATAAAATCAAGAGTGCAGGCTTGTACCTCTAAGTGATACAACACTAAAAATCACAACTAGTTGTATTTCTGATTTATGCTGAAAGTATTACCTAATTGCATGATGTATTACAAAAAGAACGAAGTAAATTAAAGCTACTGAATTTCTACATCTGTTTCATCTTGCTTCCATACAATAAATCAAAAAGATCTACCCTTTCAGTCTTCACAGCATCACCCAGTGCTACCTTCCTCGGTATCCCTTATCTGAATAAAAACCAACACAAGTCTTTCACAAGAAGGAACATAAAGGAAAAAAGGAATAAGTTTTGCCTAAACAAAACTTCAATAAATCTATAAAACTTTAAATAATTCTCAAGTTTGGTGGACTTGATTAATTTAACAGACCTTGAATCTGATGAACTTTTTCTTCCACGAATGGACACCAGATAGGTAAATTTGTTTGAGTGCCTCATGGCTCATTCGCAGGTCAATCCCATCTGGAGTTACTGTAAATTGAAAAGCTACCGCTTGATGAGCTTCTGCCATCTTCAGAGAGAGTTCTGTCAAAAAGCAAAGTTAAAAAATTATTTCATTTTTCTTCAAAGGAACTAGGAGCTAGTCCATTTCTAGCAAGGTATCTTCTACACAGTAATTTTGGGAAATATTTCGAAGTATGCAAAATTTACATACAGTACTTGCCTCTTCCTTACAGGCTATGCTTGCACTTCAGTCTGAGCGTCCAGTGTGTTAATTAAGGTACCTCTTCTAATTACAACAGCTGAAAATGGAAGCAAAACACCCTCATGTATCTTAGGTCTTTTGGCAGGATTGCAGCAAGCTGAGTATCATGCATACATACAATATATAAAAATTCAGAGCACAGCAGAAAATTGAAGCCCTAATATTTAGAAAAAGCCTATTGCAGATACACAGCATCTCACTCTGTAATGATAAAGGAGATTGAAAAGATTTTTTTTTCCCCATCATTTTGAAACAAAAGCTATTTGAAGTCTTCACCTCAGCTAGCAAACCAAAGCTGCTTCTGACCATATCTTCCTCTGAAACTTTTTTCATATCTTAATTAAGTTAATTAACTTAATCAAGGTATCAATGATAACTTCCTCCTCCAAGTGACTGAGGAGTCAATGAGGAAATGTGCCATGCTGGACCTTGCTCTCACCAACAAGGGGCTGGTGGAGAATATGAAGCTCTAGTGCAGCCTTGGCTGTAGTGAACATGAGATGGTGGAGTTCAAGATTCTTAGGCACATGGAAAATGAGCAAGTGATTGGTAACAGCCAACATGGCTACAGTAAGGGCAAATCATGCCTGACAAGTTTGGTGGCTTTCCCTGATGGCATTACAGCACTGGTGGATAAGAGCAACTGACATCATCCATCTGGACTTGTGCAAAGCATTTGCCACTGTCCTGCACAACATTCTTGTCTCTAAATTGGAAAGACATGGATTTGACAGATGGACCACTTGGTGGATAAGGAACTGGATGGATGGTTGCACTCAAAGAGTTGCAGTCAATGGCTCCACGTCCAAGTGGTGACCAGTGACGAGTGGCGTTCCTCAGGAGTCAGTACTGGGACCAGTGCTGTTCAACGTCTTTGTTGCGACATGGACACTGGGATTGAGTACACCCTCAGCAAGTTTGCTGATGACACCAAGCTGTGTGGTCGGTCCTCTTGACACATTGGAGGGAAGGGATGCTATCCAGAGGGCCCTTGACAGGCTTGAGAGGGGGGCCCGTGCAAACCCTAGGAAAGTCAACAAAGCCAAGTACAAGGGACTGCACCTGGGTTGGGACAATCCCAAGCACAAATACAGGCTGGGCAGAGAGTGGATTGAGCGCAGCCCTGAAGAAAAGGACTTGGGGGTGTTGGTTGATGAGAAGCACAACAGGAGCCAGCAATGTGCGCTCGCAGCCCAGAAAGTCAACCACATCCTGGGCTGAATCAAAAGAAGCATGGCCAGCAGGTTGAGGGAGGTGACTCTGCCCCTCTACTCTAGTGAGACCCCACCTGGAGTACTGCATTCAGTTCTGGGGCTCCCAACATAAGAGGGACATGCACCTGTTGGAGCGGGTCCAGAGGAGGGTGACAACGATGACAGGGGGGCTGGAGCACCCCTCCTATGAAGACAGGCTGAGAGAGTTGGGGTTGTTCAGCCTGAAGAAGAGAAGGCTCAAGGGACATCTTACAGCAGCGTTTCAGTACTTGAAGGGGGCCTACAGAAGAGGTGGAGAGGGAGTAGCAGGCAGAGTAGCAACAGGATGAGGGGTAACAGTTTTTAACTGAAAGGGAGTAGATTTAGATTGGATATTAGGAAGAAATTCTTTACTGTGAGACACTGGAACAGGTTGCCCAGGAAGCATTCAAGGCCAGACTGGATGGGGCTTTGAGCAACCTAGTCTAGCCCTGCCCATGGGGGTTGGAACCAGATGATGTTTAAGGTCCCTTCCAACTCTAACCATTTTATGACAATTTCAAGCTGATTAGTCACAGCAATAAGATACTATAGGCCCTGTGGGTCTGAGTTCTGACTGGTAAATGCAAAATCAAAACTGTGCAGAGTTGAGGAAACCAAATCACAACTGTCAGAAAAGTGACCTTCACATAAACAAGCCTGAAATAAATTTAATTGAAATGCAGCTCAGTTTAACTACCCAAACAAATATCAACAATGGTGCCAAAACAGACAAAAGACCATCATAATGGGCAGGTATAACAGGCTCAAATAAAAACCACTGGAAAATAAAACAGAAAAGTAACTGTGATTCTGTTTAAATATTTATGTCTCACTCTGTCTGAGGATACAGCAAATCCAAATTGAACCATATGCTCTTATTTATCAGCTCATCTTCATAGCTTCTTCCTTTCTGTAACCAGCATTTCTACCTGAATATCCTGGAAGTTACACCTACTCATCATTAATTCAGACTCATGTTGTTTGAGCACTTACAATCAGAACACAGATTTTTGCAGACAGGCTCTATGTATAACACTGAAGTTGTCCAAACTACATATTCCTGAGGATACCATTATGATTGCAAAGTTTTTTGTTCATGTTCATTTATTAGCTTACCAAAACATCTGTGTATAATCCTAAAAATAACATCCCCTTAGAAGTACGACAAAAAGGTAAAGGAATCCATAATCCCATCTGTAGGTCAGGACATTTTTACCAGTACAAAACACAACATTATCAATACTAAATGTCTTAAGGTGGCACTAGCATTTCTATTACGGCAAAATAAAAAAAAGTACAACTACTTCATGCATTTTGAATCCTAAAAGCTGAAATTTACATTTCTTTTGCAAACCTGAAGCTTAGACATTGTAATGAAACTTAAACTCTGATAGATGTTCATCCCCTGCTGAAAGCTGAACAGCACATGCGGGCTAACTAGTGCAGTTTAGCCAGGCACTTTAAAAGCAGTAGGCTTAGGAAATAAATATACAATATTAAATATATATAAATATACATATATATGTGTGTATGTGTATACAATATTTATATTACATATATTTGTATTGTATATATTACATATATATTGTATATACTATATATATACACAATATTTAATAATAAACAGTAGGCTTAGGAAATAAATATACAATACAGGAAGAGAAGGAGCATTAGGCAGAGATGAACAAGATAAGTGCTGTTGTGCAGCATCTAGTAAGATTGTGGACTATTGACAGTGACTGTTCACAATATTGCTCTGCAATACAACTGCTGCAGTCACTGATGACAATTCATAGAACTCCCAAATCCATCCGCCGCAGCTCAAGTTTTAGAAGCCGAGTCCTGCATGAATCAGGCTTCTGGGTTTCCAGAAGGGTGGCTAAAGTTCACAGTGTCATACAGACAGTATGCAATTAGATCTATGCATGTACAGTGTCTAATTAGGACAACAGAGAAGCCAAATCTGCTTTGAACACCAGTTTCAAAACCTTTAAGACAAACCCTGTATGCCCTAGTAACAACTGCAATCTGTAGTACCTAATGACTGTCACTAACAACTGCTTATTCATAGGGGCCTTGCTGTAGACAAGTATCAGGAAGTCAAAGTCAGCTATCCACTCATTCATTTAAATTGTGCATCACGAGTTCAACGCTGAGACCAAAAGTGCAAAAGAACAATAAAACAGAGACAGGCAGCAGTAATACATGGTATTCCCTGGACTCAAAAGAGTTTGCAATACGGGAACACACTCCAAGTTAAAAGTCATCATATGTTTAGCAGTACTATTAAAACTAGGATGAAAAAAAAAAAAAAACCAAAAAAACCCCACCACAACAAAACCAACCATATTCCCCTACAGAGAATCAGGCACCTGGATTTGTCTCAAGAAGGGCCAACCGGTTCTTCAGTTCACTAATGGAATTTTGTATTCTGGAATGCCAGTGTTTTAAGTACCAGACCAACTAGTTTCTATTACCCTTCAACTCCCTTGTGACTTCTCAGCCTGGGAATTAGTAACCTTCCTCCTCTCTGTTTCTGAAAAGAAAGCATTTCAGGAACCCTTCCCTTTTTAGGCATGTGCATTTCTACCATCCAAGGTAGAAAAAGATTATAAATAGCATTAATCATAAACAGTCAACTTGATATTTTAATGAATTAAAAGTCTAACATGATAATAACATTAAATAAGCTTCAATAAGAAAAATAGTCCTTACTCCCAAATGAAGAACTATTAATCCAGCAATAATTAATCCTGAATCAAGTACACAAGCCCTGAAAACAAAGACGAGTCTAGTTCTAGGACTGTATTACTTTGACCCTAAGATGTGAAACAATCAAATGGCTTGTTTCTTTTCATATCTTTTTCCTTTACTTAAGAAAACTGTAAGCCTTTAAGACTGTTCTGAATTATGATGGCTGAACACCAAAGACTTCCTGAAGTCCCTTTCTTTGAACATTTCTTTTCCTCCTTAAAGGCCAATTTAATCATAAGCTGCTGTACACTTCCCCTCCTTTGCATTCCTCTGCTGTCACGTGCTTGCTAGCAAAGTAGGTAAAAGGGCACAGGCCAGAGGAGCATGCGTCAGACTTATAAAATTGACTTGCCAATGTTAGTAAGGCAGCACCCACTCAGTCAGCTAACTAACACTGAAACAATAACAACTTCTAACTTCAGGCATTTTGGCCAGCAAAATATTTCTATACAGCATATACTAATTAACCTCACTGCCAGAGAGCCATAAACAGAGCTTTTTGACTTTCTTAGTAGTTTGGCCAAGTCTTACTTAACGGGGGGGGGAAGGTGGGTGAAGCACAATAATTTCTAAAAGTAATCTGAAATGGCTAATTTCATTCCTTTCTTCCATAATATTAATGTATCTTAAAAAACGCAACTGCCCCTTAAAACTTGGTTTCTTCTTCCCCCCCCCCCCCCCCCTGCATGTTCTTGCTCTTCTCTGCTTTTACTTCAGTTCAAACATGCTGTAACAGCTGCAGATGTTTCTCCTCTTCCTTTTTCACATCTCTGCTTGAGCCAATCAAAACCTACCGCAATTTTTTTCCATTGTTAAAAACAAGCACTGCT